CTGGCTGCCAGGGAGGGCTGCTAGATCAAGACTTCTGGAGGGTGGCTGCCCATCAGCTTGCCCCAAGACCACTCCTTCCTTACTGCTGCCCTCCTTTCTATCTGTTCCTTTAGGTTAAAAACTAGTAATCCAGTCCCTTGAATTTTATTTGGAGACTCTATTAATTATCCGTTTGGGTAAATATAAGCGCACACAAAGTGAAGCTTTTTCAAAAAAGCTTTTAAAGATTTTTTTAATCAATAATTTTAAATGCATACACAAGTAACAATCTTACATGACAAATTCCATGCATCCACCACCCTTCAACATGCGTGTCACCAATCATCAACTCATGACCAATCTTGTTTCATCTCTAATCCCCAACCCTCTCTTCCCCATGATTTTAAAGCAAACCCAGACATCGCATTTTAGTACATCTTTAAAAAATAAAGTCTTCAAAAAATATGTAGCCATAATGCCATTAGCACACGTAAAATATTGGCAATAATTCTTTGTTATCATCCAGTTCCTAGCTAGTGTTCGTATTTCCACCTGTGAAGCTTAGATTTTACCAGCTTTGGCCTAAGATTACTAATACCAGTTACATCCCTAGAGAGTAGATTATTCTGCTCATCCCACAGGTAATGCTTATTTAATTATTTAAATAATTTAAATAATTATTTGGAGGGTATGGAGAGCCTGCTGCCTCCAGACATGTCTGTGAAGCTGTATGTCTAAGATATATTCTGAGAACTGCTGACAACCTGTTTGACCTCTTGCCTGTTCTAGTTTTCCCAAACCATCATAGAGAGTGGAACAGGAAGAATGTGTGAGCTTATGTTTAATCAGAGGTCAGTGTTAAGTCGGGGAGGCTTAATCGAAGAAGACTTCTGTGGGTTGCCCCGAGCTCTGTGTCCCCACAGGACTGCTCCGTTTGGGGTAAGCTGGTTACATCCATTCACCAGGCCATTTGTGCTACCTTCAACCTTCACAGACATAAGCCAGGGACTCTCAGTTCAGAATCATTTGGGAAAGGAGCCAGATGCAGGTCCTACTTTGAGGCTGCTTCTAAAAGTGGGAGTAGGGGGAGACTTAGATGGGAAGGAGGACGGGACAGTGAGTTCAGTGATCGGAATGATCATTCACATCTGTCTCATAGTTCTAGTCCAGCCACTTATGTGGACTCAGGCTGAGGTCACTGCCTGTAACTGGGAGAAAGAGTTCTTCGGCATGGCCCAGCTCAGAAAGTACCCTTCATCCACCTGCCCCTGCCCCCGTCACCCACCCAAGGTATTGTAAAAAGCCTCATGACTTTGGTTTCTTCGGGAATGTACTGTGACATGGTTATCTAAGGACTAACACAAAACAAAAATTAAACAAATCCCAAAACTCAATTTTCAAAGCCCGTAGGAGAACTTGTCTCATCTGGCAGTTTCAAGGGAGAAGGCAAAATGTTCTTTTTGAGAATTATTTTCCCCTGCTTCACAGATCTAAGCCAGAAGAATGGCAGACCAGGGTGGGAAGGGCAGCTAGTGTCTGGGAAGACCAACGGCTCCATGGGGGCCGCAGCAATGATGACAGGGCCGTGGGGAGATCAGAAGGTAGGCGTGCTGCACAGCTTCTCCACTGCAGCACAGAGGACAGTTTACAATGTCATGGCACTTCCCTCTCGCTTTTCCTCTCTCCCTTTTTTCTCTGACAAGGTCTAATGTAAGCCTTTCGCCTTGGGTCTGTGTAGGTCATTTGGAGACGGCCCCCCGGCAAGCTCCCCCTCCCGAAGCAGGAAGACCTGCCGGTGGTTTACCTGGGCAGTTTCCGCGGTGTTCAGAAGCCTGCCGGGCCATCTGCCTCTGCAGATGTCCACCCTCACTGCCCGCCTGCATATGCCATGGTCGGCCTGCACAGCCTAGAGGCCCGGGGGGAACACAACACCGCCTTCCACCCAGTGAGTTTCCCTGATGAGAAAGCTGGGCGAGAACATAAACCTGTGTTTTCCTACCAAGAGCTGAACTCCACTCAGGAGAGCTTCCGCCAGAAACTGGCTGCCTTTGGCGGGAAGACATCTGGCTGCCACAAGGGCCCTGGGCCTTACCCCTCTCCTCAGCCCCTGCGGGAGTCTCTGCCCACGGAGGATGACAGTGGTCCAAGGCGCTCACCCTCGGGGGACAGTGAAGGGGGAGAATATTGCTCCCTCCTGGACTGTCGCCCCGGGAGCCCAGGCACCGAGGGCACTCCACAGGCTGAGGGTCCCCGGCGCAGACATGGTGGAGAGGGCCGCTCGCCAGCCGAGGAGGAGAAGCGGGTTTCGAGCTTTCCAAGGGAATGCTGTAGCCAGGGCCTGACAGAGAACTCATCCCACCTGGGCCCCAAGCAGCTGTCCCTTGCCTCAGAGGCTGCCAGTTCTTCAGACGGCCTCTCGTGTGGGAGTGCCAGCAGTGGCACCAGCAGCCCCTTCGCCTCCCATCTCGAGAGCGATTATTGCTCCCTTATGAAGGAACCTGTGCTGGGGAAGCAACAGGACTCTGGCTGCCACGTGGTGACCTCTAGCAGGTGCCTTGGGCTGACTGGGGAGCCCCAGCCGACAGCCCACTCTAGAGAGTCTGTGCAACCTGAACCCATCTATGCCGAGAGCACCAAGAGGAAGAAGGCAGTTCCAGCACCTTCCAGGCCACAGGCAGCAGCTGCTCAGGGCCAGGTCCGGACGGCTAACACGTGGGCTCAGAAAACAACATCTGGGTGGGGCCGAGACCGGGAAGGCCCAGATATGGGCCCCAAGGTGGCAGCCACCATCACAGTCATGGCAGCCCACCCAGAAGAGGACCACCGGACAATCTACCTGAGCAGCCCCGACTCCGCGGTGGGGGTGCAGTGGCCACGCCGGCCTGTGAGCCAGGACTCTGAGGCCGGTGACGAGGAGACTTCTGATGGGCAGGGAATGAGCTCCAGGGAAGGCCATTGTCACGATGCCAGTGAACACATGTCCAAAGGGAGGCCTGCCATTCCTCCCAAGCTGTCCAGGAGTAGTCCTGGAGGGTCTCCGGTGTCACCATCTGCCTCCCCTCTGTCTGACGTCAATGAGGGGAGCTCCGGGGGTGGCACTGGGCCCCAGCCTTCATCCAGGGGCCCCAGTGACCCCGCTCCTTCCTGCCGGGCCAATGGTGTCACTGACCGTGACTCGGTCAAGTGTCCGGGGCCAGCCAGTACCGCCTCAGCCTTAGACCAGAGGCGGCCTCGGTACCACACTGGGGCCTGGAGTCGTCAGTGCCGGATAGAGGAAGAGGAGGAGGTGGAACAGGACTTGCTGAGTCAAGGCTGGGGAAGAGAAATGGAAAATGGCACCACGGACCCCTCAAACTCCTCTACCTGGCACCGTCTGTGCCCCACAGATGGCTCCTCAGGGCAGAACAATAAAGCCATTACTGGGATGAGCAAATCTGCTTCCTTCGCCTTTGAGTTCCCCAAGGACAGAAACGGGATTGAGGCCTTCTCACCACCTCCGCCACCTCCAAAGTCGCGGTGAGTACCAGTGTCTGTGTGTGACTCGGGCCGGCCTGACAGGACACAAGGCTCTTCCAGGAACCTTGGCCTTTGCCACTGGTACTGAAGGGCTTCAGGCCCAGGCTCTGAGTCCCGCGCCCCAGGACCAGTGTCTGCCCAGAGGCCCTGGTGTCTTTATGGACATTTCCGAGAGTTGTTGCTCATGTTTGTGTGCAACGAGCAAACCTACAAGCAGTGCCCTGCTCGGGACTGGTTCTTTGGCACAAAACTTTCCAAGAAGCCCTGCCAAGCTGTCGCTCTTTCCTGGTGCCTGTAATTGTATTCTCTGGCACTCTTTTTCTCCCCATTTCTCAGAAATATCTTCAGTAGGCTTTTTCAAGGAAACCCGGAAATTCTCCACTTATTTAAACATGCAAAAAGAAGGAAGCTATGCTCCAGAATTTGGAGAGGCAGAGAGATTGGGAGGCAAAGGGGCAATGCCAAATGTGTCCTCCAGAAACTGTTACCTTGATGGCGATTAGTCTTTGGGCCCAAAAGCAAAATAGTAGAAGGCTCTGCACGTGGTTTTGTGACTCTCGGATGTGGGTTTTGAAAGAAAAAAAATGTAGTTTTATTTTAGAATACTGAAATTCACAGCTTTCTCCACCGCTTCACTGCTATCCCCTGCCAGTTTAAAGTACCTTTCAAAGGCCCAAACATAAATGCTTTTTTAAGGTACTTGTGCATGGAATTTAAATTCTGGAAAAAAAAAAAATTTCCTCTATTAAAGCAAAATGATTCCTGTCAGGGAAAGGAAGGAGAAACCTGCTGTTTTTCAAAAAATGATGGCCTTTCTGAACAGGCTCTCCAGTCCTGTTGTTTCCAGCGTTTCTGTTTCAGCCTGTGTGCCGCCGGGTTGATGTCAGAAGCAGGGAATTGACCACAGAGAGAAGCAGCTGTGACACTTGACTTTGAACATTAAGGCATCAGAGGCTGTGAGGCCCTCTAACGTGGACTGTTTTTCACGACCACGACTTTGTTCTGGTATTGCATCGACCACCTGCCATGCAGAGTAGAATCCTCCAGATCCTCACGAGGTAGCAGACTCTCTCTGGCTACAGTTATAACTACCTGAGTGAATGAGGGGTTCGGCAGCTAAGAAGAGCTCCTATATATATGGCATTTACTATGGGCTAGGCACAGATCTAAGAGAGTTAGACATATTTACTCATTGGATCCTCAGAACAGCCCTAGGAGGTAGGAATTATCATTCCCAATTTACGGATGACAAAACAGAGCTGAAGTAGCCTGCTGAGGTTACACAGCCGTACGTGGCAGTAGGGCTCTAAAGTCGGTGCCTCTAAACACAGAGGGTACATCAGCAGACACAGGAAGTGAGCGGGGCATGAGAGTAAAAGGTGGACATGGTATCTGTCTGCCGCAGACCTGGGTAGGTTAGTGAGAAACACACGTTTCAGCATTAGAAAATCAAGTGTATACTGTGTCTGTATCACTGACAGGCTTAGTTGATCTTGAATAAGCCTCTCACTGTAACTGAGCCTCCAAGTTACTTCTCTCTAAAATGGATAATAACCATACTTTTATAACTACACGTTATTGAAAGGCTCACATGACATGAACAGAATCCAACGCAGAGGTTAGTTATTATGTAGGCAAAAGCTGTTGACTGTGGCAAGGACACCCACATTTTGTAGGAACAAGCCAGAAACACCACCTGAGCCTTGGATAAAGAACTAAAACATTCTCATTTAAGAATCATAGGACTTGAGGATACCCCAGTCACCATAGTAATGTGTTAAATTAAAAACAAAAAACCAAAAAAAAAATACCCAAGTAAAGTTAAAGATTTAATTGGTCTTATTAAATGATTCATGAATTGGGCAGCTTCCCATCCAGTAACTAGAAAGGTATTCCAGGAGCTTTACAAAATGGAAGGCTTTTAGAGGCAGAAACAGGGTGCGACAAGGCAGGCAAGGGGAAAGCAGGGGGTCTTATCAGGCAGATTACCTCAGTAGGGTTGGCCAGGAAATTCCAAACTGGTTTAAAATTCTATTCCTGGGAAAGGCTGAAACGGCAGTTATATTAGGTATTAAATCTCGATGGGGCTTAGCAAAAGTGACTCCATTCGGGCCTGTTGTTTCTTTTTAACAGTTTCCCACTTTTGATCAAACCCTGAGCCTAACTGAGAGATGTAGTCAAAATTTAAGGCCTCAGTGCCACTCTCAGCTACCACTCTATAGTTTTGGAAACTTTTATTGGTTCTGCTTTTTTGCTGAATCTCTGTGATATTCACAGGTTACCACTTCTGGTTTTTTAGTTGGTCATTCTCTTTGTTTCTTTTTCGAAGTTCCAGTGTTAGAGAGATTATTTGCTTGGTGATTAGTGCCGGTGAACATCGTTCAAAGCTTTTGAGAGAATACGGTGCACCAGAGAGATTACTGTGATAACTGCAAGCAGGATAATTCCTAATGTTTGGAGGGCACTTTGAAGCCAGGGTCCCCGAGACCTAAAACAGTCAAAGAAAGACTCTGTGGAAGGAGTCACCCTTTTAAGACAAGTGACTTGCTCAGTGATCTTTTGTTGCTAAGTTTCAGGTTCCCCAGAAGTGTAAATTCGGGTATAGCAGACAGTGTTGGCCACAGCACAGACACTTCCTTGCTCAGCTAAAAAATAATCCTGTTATCACGAACAACTTTGGCCAGAGAGTTTAAGGATTTTTTGCTGTGCAGCTGTTGCTTTAACAGCGGATTCCTGCAATATTTTCAAGGGCTAGAGAGAAGTTCCTGGTTATAGCCTCATTGATATTCATTCTTAACCAAGGAAGTAGAGATCTGTCAAAGCGAGCTAATTTTGAATCGTGAATGCCTCCTGGTAGGTCCCTTCTAGAACAGTTAGGGGCAGAGTTAGATAACCTAATAAGCATTTTGCAGCTATTCTCTAGCCATCTAGGCATTCATAGGCCCAAGGAGAACGATAACTACCACAGATAAAGGTAAATCCTGTCAGGAACAAACCATGTCCACTAAGGTGGAATTGCCAATGGAGTCATTCGTGGAAATTGTTGCATTTGGCTCTTCAAGCCAGGGTCAGTTAAGTTTCCTCCTATCCTGAAATAAATTTTTTTCTAAATTTCAGAGATTACTCCCCTTAGCAATGGCCTGGGAGATACAGGTGATGGCATTATCTTTTACTTTGGCCAATGCCAGAGTAAAGAAAAGAAAGAAAAGAAAGAAGGGTTTTATGTTTAGCTAAAGTAGGAAGTTTTGACCTGGCATTTTGGGCAGAAGCAGTCTACATCAACGTCGGCTACTTCTCTTCCTAGTCCAGTATTTGCATGAAAATCATAGTCATCCTCCTCAGTTCATTCAGCCCATGTAATTAATTCTTGCCCTTTTCAAATCAGCTTTTTCTTTTTTTCCTTTTATTAATTTTGGAAATTCCAAGTCCACTCTGCTCCACAATCTCAAAGGCATCATGAAGCTGCCCTTGAAAGTCCCCTCCATGAATCTCCTTGCAGATAAAGCACTTTGCAGGAACACTTTGGTGAAGCATCGGAGTAAAACAGTAACTGTAAATGACAAAAGACTTAAAAATGCCCATCTTTAAAGATCTGATGAGAGTTCATTGTAATGGCACTGATAAGGAAATTTGGTCATTCTTGTAACATGCAACTTTTTATAACATTATACCAGAACATATCAGACTTTAGGAATTGCATATAATTTCTAGAACGCTATAACATATATTTATACTAACATGACATAAATAAAGCTTAGTATTACTTCTTATTGGACAATGCTTTTCGTATCATATCAGATAAGCCTAATTGGTTTAACATCACCCCCTTTTTTTTTTGAGAAAAGAGAACAAATGTTTTAAGATGTTCTAGGAACACCCTAGAAAATCTCAAAGTTAGTTCAAAGTCAGAAAGACTTTATTTAAAATTTGATTTGGGGAAGTTTGTTAAAAATGTCAAAAGATTTCACGGGCAAATATAGAAGGTTACATAGTTCTGAGCAAAATTCAGCTCTAATATCCAGAAGACTAGTTTTACCAAAAACACACATTCTACTCTCCTTGTATACAGAGTTGTTGCCCTTATTATTTCTAGTAACTTTAATTACGTATATTAGAATTCTTAACCCTTAAAAACCTTTAATTTCTAGTGAAAACTAAGAAGTAAGCAATTATGAACTTTTACATTAGCATTTTGTGGATTAGTAGACTTATAAATACTTCTTGTAATTTCTAGAAATGTGTTTTCTCGTAGAAAACTTCTCGGCATGACACAAAATAGGTTCATAACAGGCCCAAATATCTTTAATTTCTCTCTAAAAGGAAGCCAAAAGTGGAAAAAAGACAATGTTCGGTAATTAATATTTCAGTATTTTACGTTATTTGGAAATGATCTAGATATTTAACAAATTTCCATCATTTAGCTTAAACTTAGCAAAACTTTAAGGTTTCAGGTTACTGAAAAGATTTGGGGAAACTATTTTTAAAATGTACCTAAAAACTTTTTATCCTACTTATATTTGTTTAATTTACATGGCCTTAACAATTTTGTTTAGATTACTTATAAAATTTTCCAAGATGGTAAAATGTTGGAAGGTCTTTGAGGGACATACAAGGTTAATTTCACATAATGTCCTCACGTGAGCCTTCTGTTAAGTGGGTCCTGTTTCTAAGGATTAGCCTCACCTTCGAATAAAGATAAGGGGTCTCATGTATGATGTTCACTCTGAACTCTGGAGAAAGGAGTTATTTCGTTCAGGGCAGTACTACTTTTTAACTTAAACTTAGATCCACTGCTTTCTAGGGCCATTATGGAAGAATAGAGAATGATTTTCTGGTTTGCCTACGGTGCTGTTATGCAAAACTGACTCTCACTTGGAGGGAAAAAAATAGATGTCGAGAATGCCTTGGCTTTTCTGTGATCTTGTTTTGAATGTTTGGCAACCGCTTATCTGTCAGCTTGAGATATTGTCCTCTGTAAACTCCCATTAGAGTTCCTGAGA